AATATCCACATTATAAACTGTTATAAAAGATGAACATTTATTTAAGACACAAACCCAATAAATTGTTGATTTTCTGATTTGTTCCATAAAATTTTTATTTAAATTTAATAAATGAATGGTTCACATATTCAATAAATCTATTTTAAAAAGCTATTGTTGTAAAATGAACTTTTAATTTTAAATATTGGAAAAAGCTTTTTACATTAAATAAAAATGGAACCTTTCAACGTTTTTTGAAAAAAAAATTTAGTACACAACAATTTTTATGTGCAATTTCTATGATAAAATCGGGATACCTTCGGAATTGCATCTACAACATATCGGACACATTGCACAATCTTCTAAAATATCAACAAAAAAATTTGACGATGTGCTACATTGAGAATTTATTTGATGTTGTGTCTGCGACGTTGTTAGCACTTAAATATTTGTCAAGTTGTGTATCCAAATTTTTTTCGATGCTTATATGTTTTTTGTAATTAAAATAAATTGAAGCAAAAAATTTTCTTTTTAAAATAAGCAATGGAATGAAATAATACAAAGCATCAAGATTTTTAAGTTTTCAAATACTCGTATTAAGTTACACAATGTGTTTGAAAAAATTGTATAAAAATTTAAATTGAAATTTTATTCTTTTTCGAGTTCGATTCCGAACAAACCCCAAATCATTTTCTTTTTTCGAACTGAATTTTGTGTTGTACAATCTCGTACTTACAAGTACTCTCATACAAATTTGAATATTCGGTCTTCGATGTAAATTAGGCAAAGCAAAATCAACTCTCAATTCATAAAATATTTATTGGACTGCTAAAAATAAATAAAGATTAATCAAATAAAACTCATAAAATTTATTAAATGTGAAAATGAATTTTTTTTTAATAATAATGACTTAATATAATATAAACTTAAAAAAAAAAACATCTAATTAATAATATTATAATTTAAAAATAAAAATTTGATTGTTATTTATAAAAAAAAATAATAATAATAATTATAATTAAATTGTTTAACTACAATATGAATTTATGTAAGCTTAAATAACAAACAATAATTGACCAAGAAAAAATATTGCAAATATAAAAATTAAAATATACAAAATATTTATTTTCCAACAAGTATAAAATAAAGTTTTTATAATATAATTGTAAATAATTAAAATTAAAATAAAAGAGCAATTTATAAATATTAAATTATAAAATTAAATTATTGAAAGATGACCATCAAAATTGAGTAAAAAATTCTAAAACTGAAATATAAAATTTATATAAGAAATTAAAATTTTAATGGCATTAAAACTGCACAATTGAATATTCTTTGTATTGTTTTTAAACTTCAATAATTATTATTAAAAATAATTATTAGTTATATAATTTTTATTATATATAAATAATATAGTATATATGATACAATGTAATATATTTCTATACAAACAACATTGATATTTAGGCGGAATTTTCATTAAAATTCTTAACTTTTATTTTACATTTAAAATGTACAATTTAATAAATTTTCTTAACAATTTTACAATATTCATTGTGTATACGGTTTGTGTTTTTTGCATAATATATATATATGGTTTGTTTTAGTGTATTTTTTTTTTACATAAATTATACATTTTTCATTTCAATTAAAAGAACACTATTATTTTTTTGGATTTATATGTAAATTTTATTAAATTTATATTTTTATTTTAATACATAATTTATTAAGCTTAGAAAAATATATATATATATATATATATATATATATATATACATATATATATGTAGCATGTATTAAATTTAAAAATAAAAATGATAATTAAATAAAAATTGAAAATAAATTTCCAAAACGATTGTATTTTTAAAAATACAGAAACCTTGAAACTTTATTATATTATTATTTATTAATATTTATGGGGCTGTTCAACTATATTTGAACTGTATTATACTAAAACAAATTATATAATATAATTTTGTTATTTAAATGAATTTCCACAATTCAATTTTCTGCGGTAATAATACGGTATTATTAAAATTTAGGGGGTAAATAAAATTTTTAATAAAAAAATAAATTTTTTTTTTACATTATTTAATAATTTTTTCCTTTAGGGTTATTATACGTTTTGTATATTTACCAATATTTTTGTATAACATTTAAAACATTCATTTATTTACATTCATGTAAAATATTTGCTATTCGTTTCAACAATAATTGCTGTGGGATAACATTAGAATTTAATATAGGAGATTATTAATATATTTGGTTATATTAAATAAGTTGTGTAAAAAATTGTCTGGAAATCATCTATTATAGAGTTAAGTAGATGAAAACTGTTAATGTTGAATAAAATATTTTAAAATTTTTGAATAAAATGTTTTGTTTGCAATAAACATTTTATATTACGGAAGTCGTGGCATAGCTAATGCTCAATGTTTACCCAATTACATAAATGACGAGTTCTTGTGCCATGATTAAAACAGTTTTTAAGGCGACTGTTTCTCTATATAGTAGATTAAAATGGTATAATTGTAGAAATGTTTTGATAAAAGAAAAATTTTGGACACTCTTTATTAGTTATATCGAAGTGGGTAAGTAAAAAAAAAAAATACAAATTATAAAAAATAAAACTGTTTTAGTTCTGTTTTTTTTTTGATATTTTTTTGTTCTATTTTATAAATAAAATTGTGAGTAAATTTTCTTATTTTCTTAATTTTATACATTATGAATACATTTATATTTTTAGTATAATAATTTTTTAATTCTTTTAACATAAATGTAGGATTTTATTTGTGAGTTTTTCTAGTTTTTTTTGTTTAAATTTTAATTTATATTATTGTATTATTAACTTAAAAGCAATACTAATTTAATTATGTATAAATATTTTTTCTGCTCTAATTAATAACAATTTTCTAAAATGTAACATTATAAAGTATACAAGTGTGTGTATGTATATAAAATATTAATAACAAATAATTAAAATTATATGAAATTGAAAAAAAGAAAAATTATCATTATAAAAAGTATAACAAATAAATTTGATGTTTTGAAATAAATTCTACATTTATAATAAATGTATCTTATATATTGTTATATAATTATAACAAATTTTCTATTTTAAAATTATTTTTTTTATCTTTTTAATAAAATTATGACCTTTAGAATTAGAAAAATTTAATAAATCATTGAAAATAACAAAGTTTTAAAATTTAAATAATTCTAAAATTGAAATTAACTACATTATTATATTAAAAATTTTACTAAACAAAGAATTAAAAGAATAAAAGATATATTTTATCTATTTGATTTCTATTAGATACTAAGTATAAATATTATATAATTTATTTAAATAAGAAAATATTAAAACAAATTATTTAAATAAAGTTTTGTAAGGAAAGAAAAAAAAATGGCAATAAAATTTTAAAATTGGAAATTAGAATATTATACTTGTATAAATAAATTTTGTGCAAAAATTTATTGTTATTAGGATATACCAAAATTATTTTAATATGAACTTTTTGTTTTTTAGTTCAATATTTAATAATTTTAAATTAAACAATAGAGTATAAATAATATTATTTAAGAGAACAATATTACGTCATTCACTTAACAGTTTTTCTCTCATTTAACAACACATTATCTCTCTCAATAAAAAATTGTACACATTCTCTTCTTTTTTTTCTGAAATTTTAATGTTTAACTAAATTTTTTAATATTTCTCTCACAAATATTTTTTTTGAAAAAAAAAAATGTTTACTAAAAAAATGTTCACAAATTAATTTTTAATTGAGAAGAAATGTTGTAGCATAAAACAAAATTTATTCTCTTATATATTATTATTTTCTCTATTGTTACTCGTATATATAGTTGTTTGCTTGTTATAAATATACGCTTACATTTACAAAAATTGTTCTTAATTTAAGAGAAAAGAAAATTATTTTCATGTTATTGTTTTAATTTTTTTGCTTTTTTCAAAATATGTAAGCTTTTTGAACTCTAATACTATTATACATTTACATATAAATAAAAAATAATATTTTTTTTTTTTTAAAGTAATAATAACGGTTTTTTTTTTCTGTATATTTTATAAATTACATTTTTCATGTTAAGTGTTTAAGTTAGGTTTGTTTTTTCTATGTTTTGTTATTTAAGTTTTTACAATTTAAATATTTTCAGGTCTACAAAATTGCTCTTTTATAACCTTCTTTTTTAATTTACTTACAATCATATTAATATATAACATTTATCTTTTACAATTATTACAATACAATTGATAAATTTTTGTTTTGAAATTTTCAAAGTATTTATGTATACGAAATAATAATAAAATATTTTGTTCTAATAAAATCAAATTAATATTTAAAAAAAAAAATTTTGAATAATGTCATGATTTTAAAATATAATAATTAAAAAAAAAAAAAATATATATGTAATAAAGTTATTAAATTTTGATATTCAATTTTTTTTTTTTCAAATTTTTATAAAAAATTGTTTTTACACATAAAATTATTGTTTTTGTTTTAAAATTTTTGAATTTTGAAATTTTAATTTTGATAATCATTGATTTATTTATTTGTTTTAAATTAGAAATACGATATATGTATATATGTATATATTTTCTTATATTTGTATAACAAAAATTTAATATAATTTTAGTATTTTTTCAGTCTTTGTGCTGCGAAAAATTTTTATTTATTAAAAGTATTTTTTTTTTGTTTTAATTTTTTAGGATAATTGAATTTTCGGTTTTAAAAGAGAAGAAAGGATTAATAAGGATTAATATCCATATTTATTTTTTATTTTAATTTCCTCTTTGAATAATCAATTTATAAATATTATTAATTTTGTATATTAATCATTAAAAATCATAAAAATTTTTATACAAAATAAAAATTCATAGTTTATAGAAGAAAATTAAAAAAAAAAAAAAAACAATTTTTTAATTGAAAATTAATTATGCAAACTCTTTTATTTGTTTTAACAGTTTTAAGAGCTAACAAGAAAAAAAAACATGAAACAAAATTGTTAGAATGCACTTTTTGTTTGTTTTTCTTTAATATTAAAAATATTTCATATTAAATTTTTGTATAGGAAATTTTTATAGTAATGCTTGTTATAAATTAATAACTTAGATTAAAAAAATATAATTAATAGGAGAAATTCTTCACAAAAATACAATTAAAATTTTTATTTTTCTTTAATATTTTAACATTGATTTTTGATATATTGGACATTTAAATATCGGAGGACAAGGTTACCAAAAATAAATTTTTTTTCTTTTTTTGAAAAATTCGAAATTTTTTCTTAATTTAAATTTTAAAGTTAAGAAATTTTTTTTTCTGAAAAATATTTTAATTTTTTTTTTCCTTTGTATATTCTTATAAAATTCTGCTTTCTTGCTTTTCTTATATACTTTTCAATCTACATACACATATTATTTTGTTCTCTTACAATGCATGCAAAAATCAATTTAACTTTATATATATGTATATACTCTGTATATACTCTATGTATATATGTATTTTAGTATAGTAGTGTGTAATTATCTATCGTATAAAAAACTTTTTTTTTTCTCTTATTTTATGCTGCTTTTGTTTTCAATTTTTCATTTAATTTCCTCTTTTTCTGTTTTACTAAATATTTTGATCATTTTTTTTTTTCCATTTTTTAGTTGCTTTATTGTTTTGAACTTGATGTTGTTCTGCCAGCTGTTTCATCTCCTAACATTTGTTGAATTTCAGCTAATGATTTACCTTTTGTTTCAGGTACACAGAATGCAACAAATACACAACCAATAACTGTTAAACCAGCAAATAACCAAAATGTTTCACCTTGTCCTAATGCATCTTTTAAGTTGACAAATGTTTTTGTAATAATAAATGCTAAAACCCAATTGAATGTACCAGCAATTGAACCAGCAACACCTTTTATATCAGTTGGAAATAGTTCACCCATCATTAACCATGGTACTGGACCATAACCCAATGAAAATACAATAATGAATAAGCATAAGCATGTAACTGGTAACCATCCTAAACCTTGTACTGATGAAGCATCATTCGATTTCATATAGAAATAAACACCCAATAATATTGTACAAATTGCCATAACAGCACCAGAAATCAAAAGTAATATACGACGTCCCAAACGATCAACAACTAATACAGATACAGTTGTAGCGATTACTTGCATAACACCAACTAAAATTGTTGCTAAATTTAAATCAATACCGGTGTCAGCATCCTAGAAATAGATTAAATAAAAATTTTTATTTATAATAAATTCAGCAAACAAAATACATACTTATAAAAAAAAATTTTTTTTTAATTAAATTTACCTTAAAAATTCCACCAGTATAGAATATGACAGCATTAATACCGCTTAACTGTTGGAATGACATTAAACCCAAGCTAATAAATAATGCTTTAATTGTAACTGGTCTTGACATAGCAGCAAAAAAATTAACTTTATTATTTTTAATTTGATCTCTTTCAATTTGTAATTCACTTAATTCTTGTGTATGATCATAATCTGCACCACGTAACCATTTAATTGATTTTTGAGCACTTTCAATATTACCTTTGCTAACCAAATATGTTGGTGTTTCTGGCATAAAGACAAAAATTAAGCCAAATAATATTGGTACAGCACCGCATATCAATGACATTGGAAATACTTCTAATAACCAACCCAATATATATGCCAATAGAATACCAATTGTTATCATCAGTTGAAAGAAACTTCCCAATGTACCACGAATCTCTTTTGATGCTATTTCACCAGTATACATTGGTGCTGTTACACAAAATGCTCCACCAGATACACCCAAAATAAAACGTGCAGCCCACATCATTTCAACATTTGATGCCCATATTAATAGTGCCCAACCGATTGTAAATGGTAATACTAATAATAACATTGATAATTTACGTCCAATAGCACTTATTAAAAATCCAATTGGTATACAAATTGATGCTGCACCCAAATTAAAGAATGAACCAACCCATGAGAATTGTTCATCAGTTACTTCAAAACCATAAGCATTATGTTCTGTAATTGATTTTTCTGTCAATGATGTCCATCCTAAACAGACACCGGCTGCTAATGCACCACCAGCAGCAGCTGCAGCAGCAATATATTGTGGAAAAGTTTTAGCATTTGAGGTTCGCCCCATTTCTTTGATGAGGTTTTCTTGTTCCTACATTCAAAAAAATTAGAATAAAAAAAAATTTTTGATTAAATTTTTGTATTCAATCATTATCAAGTAAAAAATTTAATTTTACATATCTCGAATTAATATTGCATACTTTTGGGAGTATTTATTTTTAATTTTAAAGAAAATAATTTTTCCATTGTTGCCGCATGTTTTAGAACATTATAAAATTTTCAAAAAAGAAATTCTATATAAAATTTATAGCAATATCAAGTGATATGCATAATTTCGGCTAAACATTCTCTCGTTCTATTTAATTTCTCATATTGAAAATATTTTCAAAAATTTTGATTAAATCAAATTCCTTGAATTACAGCTTTGTAATATTATACAACATTTAAAATATTTTTATTAATTTTATAGAACTGTAGAAACTTAATATTCGAAATATCACATTTTTTTAATTTGTGTTCATTTAATAAGAAAACTTTAAGCGCTTTAAGTGGTTTATAAGAAGCTTTTAAATAGCAAAACACGTTTTATTTCAGTCACGTTTTAGTGAGCAAATTTTTTTTTCCAATATTTCTTTTTAATGTCAGACACCACGCCCATTTTTAATTGAGCAGACGACTGTTGACACAAGTGCTTAAGAAAATTTAAATTCTTTTTTTTTTTGGCACTTACGTGGACTGAAAAAAAAAACCGATAATAAAAAAAAAAGAATTACAATTTTAAGGCTTAAAGTCTATGTGAATTATTTTGGGAAATTATAGAACTTCCGATCGCAAATTAAGAAAAATTTTCATGATTGCATCAGCCAATTTCGGCTTTAAAAAATTTCGCGTATTTAGTTTTGTTTTAGTTTAAATAATTTCTTATTTATTATTTAATTATTAAATTTTCTAGCTAATTACTATTGTTATACACTTATACTATGAATAAATTAAGTATATGCAAAATACTTTCATAAATTTTTTTAATGATTACCTCAAGGGAAATAGTTGTTTCGCAGCAATGCATTTTGAAATTTGTTTTTGTTCTAATTGCTTTTAAATATTTTATTATTATATAAGACTTATGTGTAAATTTCTTTTTAAATTTACAACTCACAAATAATATTATATAAAAATTTAATTCTAAGTATAACTATTTTTAAATTCGATACGAATTAATTATTAAATTTAATTTTTTAAATTGTACTATAATATTAAATTTCACTTTAAATAAATAAATAAATAACGAAATAAATTAATTATATTGTGTATAGTTGTAAAGAGAGACAGGAGAGTTTATTCGAATTTAAAAATTCTTCACAGTTTTTTCAATTCCAATTTTAGAATTTTAATTAATTAATTTTTTGTATATTGAAATTAATGTTTATTCAAAATATTCAATTTTTCTTCTTTTTATTTTAAATACTGAGACGAGCCTCTTTTCTTCAATTAATTGTTTAATTTTTCTTTATAATTCTTAATATATTTTTTATTTTTTAATATAACTTTGCTTTTTTTTTTCAAATATTTTATTTTATTTCTTCCGTATTTTTGAACGCTTTTTCTTTTTAAACTTTCTATGATGCCGTAAAATTCTATTTTCTATATAAATAACTAATAACATTTGCGCTTTTCAAATGAAAGTAATCAACTGAATTGTGAACTTAATAAGCTTGCTAATTTAAATACAAAATTTTTTAGAGGAGATAAGGGTAGAATAAAAAGAACAAGAACAAAAAGAAAATAAAAGCAAAAAATTAAATGAAAGCTTTTCATTAGAATTACTGAAAGAGTTATATTGAGGCAAGCAAAAAAACAAAAAGAATTAAAAGCAATAAAAAAAAATAGTATTAGTTGCCTGGTTAGGTCCGAAGTCTGCTCTACACTTAATACAGTAATGGATTTAAACATGGTACGAAAATATGCCTCAGGCATTTCTTTTTTATAGAAACATTTTTTTTTTTTTTTTGGAAAAAGGGATTTTATTTACTAGAGTGTAAATACTCAAATTTACTAAACATTTTCAAAGATGTCAGCCTAAAATTCCAAAAATTAATATTAAGGCTTCATTAGTCCTTAAACCGTCCAAGTTGTAGTAAGTTTTACACCTACCACTTTTTCTTTTGCAAATACTTCCTTATATTTTTTTCTTACACTTTCATATTCTCTGTACCTTCATACCATTTTATGCTTTATTACTCAGTGTTGATTTTATTACTGTGCCTAAAACACTTACGCAGACATTGGGAGAGAGTTGTAGCAATTGATATTAACTCGACGAATTTGTTAAAAATTTCACCTCGTACTTTAAAGGTATTAAAAAAAAAAAACTTCTAAAATGAATTTTTATTGTCGGATTGTTACAAAACTTAAATTTCTCTTATTTCCTTATAAAAAGTTTTTAAAATTTTGTACAACAAAATAAAATTAAAAGTCAAAAAAGGCAAAACTAAGGTTTTTGTCTCAGATAACAAACAAAATCAAGATAAAATTGTCATATTTAACTAGAAATTCAATTTTTTTGAATAACAACAACAAAAAATTAAATATAAATTGATTTTATATAACAATAAAGCATAAAACTTTATTAAATACCACGCCTGACAGCTACAAGAATTTATTTAGTAAAAAAATAATGAAAATAACATTATTAAAAAATTTTTAAGGGTTAGGTACAGTTAATAATGACATTTCGCTTGGTCTTAGTAATATTCCAAAATCCTTTACAAGTCGTACCCCTAAATCCGACACTGTTGTTCCATAGTACAAATCAGAGGTTATTTGACTTGACTGCTTTCTATAGTTTAATTTTTCTATTTTTATATGATTATTTTTTTTTTATTTTTCTGTTTTCATTTTTTTTTTGTGATATTTATTTTTATTGCTTCTTTGTTTATTTTGTTATAAAATAAAGGGGCGTGTATAGACGTCTTGATCCGTTTTTTTTCAAACGATAAAACTTAAAACTTCCGCATAAAAATATATGACTTTTGTTTTTTTTTTGCTTATCACATTAAGTTTGAAGTGATAACATTTTTATCTTACCAAATGTTGACCCCTACATACATATTTCAATTTTTATTTAAGTTTAATATTATTTAAATAAGTGTATGGGTATTAGGTCATATAAAAAATTATATTTTCATATCTGTTAAGATTAAAAGAGTACAAATTTCAAAAAAAAAAATTCTCGGATACCTTCATTTATGGCTTTCCAGACATTTCTCTATACTTGTATGTGATATATATGTAAAATTATATGAAATTAGTCATAAATGAAAATAAGTACGCCTGACGATAGATATACCATAAGTATTTTAATCTTAAATAAATTATTCATAAAAGTAGGTGAAATTATATGACTTTAAAAAAAAATTTTTTTGGAAATTTTGAAATTATATTACCATAATATGAAATTATGTGTGTGTCGTTAAAAGTCTAAATATGGTAAAAGTTTAAAGTTCATTATGATGACGAGGTAAGTATTGGCATATTAGAATCAAAATAAAAATATATAGTAAGTAGTAATTTTAATTACGTGCATAAAATAATGTTTTCTTTTATTATTTAATTTTAATTACATCATCACATTTATTTATTTTTATTAAAATATATATTTGTTATTTAAAAATTCATGTTTGCATTGGACTATTAAGCTTAATTGGAAAAACAATTTCAAAAATTTTCTATGACGGCGTTTATATTTTATTTATATTTAAAAGAGATTGTACTTATATAATATTATTTATTTATACTTTTAATTTTAATTTACAAATTTTTATTATTATTTTTGAAATAATTGATTAAGAATCATAATAAAACGTAAGAAACGGCCGAATTGTATAGTAAAAAATACGTACATACGTAAATTGAAATTTCTCAATTGACTCTAATATCATCAATAAGTAGTAATGTGGAACATGGAAACAAATGAAGGAGTTAAATGACATTTTTTCCAAAAATCGGATTTTTGAAAATTTAGTTCAAATAAAATATTCCTCATCTTGAATAAAATACCTCTTGTCAAAATATTTTCCCGCCTTTACCAATTTAAAGAGGCAAAATTTCGAATACATACGCACGCAAGCTTATTTTGTGCATCAAAATCAAAATGGTTTTCTCCTAAAACTGAAAGTGTTAACTAACACCTTAATTACTTAAGATTAATATTTATGGGTTGAATTATTTAACATTGTCATCTAATTATATCATATAGATTTTAATAATGAATTGAGATAAAAGAAAAACGATTTACAAGCTTCATTAGAGGCTTCTCACTTTAAAATTTGATTTAAATTGCATAAATAGCAAATATAAACTCTAAATTTATTCATATTTACAGGAAATAATAATTACTTATTAATATTATGTTTATAAATTTTCTATATATATATTTTGATAATTTACTTAATTAAAAAAAAAAATACAATATCAAATGAATGTAGATAATTATATAATCTTGCGATTTTCAATTCTAATCTACACTTATAACATTTAAATAAAATTGTATATATGAAATACACATTTGTGTATTATAACAAAGGCATAATAAAAATTTAAATTAGTTTCTCAAAGATAATCAAATGGAAAGATCTAATTCATTCCTTTACCCTCTATATATTGTGTATGTTTAGAAAAAAAAAAAAGAGTCCCCGAACATAATATAAAAATATTATCAATTGTAATTATTTAGAAAGTTTATTGACAATATTCTAATTTAGAAGAATAATGGAAAATTAAATATAATTTGTTTTTATATGTAAGTATATGTGTATGTTAGTATGAACATAATCAGTAATAATAAAAAAAATTAAAATGCTGATTGGGACAATACTATTTTTTTTATTGTATTCATATTATGAACACATTTAAATTTTAAAAAATTTTTCCATTTAAAAAATTTCACCTCATAAGTTATCTTGTATATGGAAAATGAACTTATGTAAATCTAGAATTCCTCTATATATTCTTAATTAAGTATTTGAATTTACTTTTAAACTGACAAATTACTTATGACCTAAGCGACACTAAAATAATTAAAAATACTTCGTT